CCCCTGAAAGGCAAGCATGTGCCATGTGTTTCCAATCTCCAGGAGGAAGCGTGTCCATGGACAGGGATTCTAACAAAGCCTGAGTAAAAGGGGCAGTGGGACCATACTGAGCACAAGCAGTCTTTAGTTCCTTAAGCTGCTTAAAAGGCACAGGTGCATGAGACCGCACCCTGTTGCCCTGCTGATCAACTTGCTCAGAAACTGGGAAGACCTGAAATCCATGCACTGACTCTCCTCTCTCTGCTGCAGCCCCAATGGCCTGTTGTAGCAGAGATTGCATGGTTTAAGTAGGTACCAGATTCCTGCCAAAGGCTCCTGAGCCATAGCAATCATGGGAGGCGCAACAGCCTTCGGAGGGGGTGTTGGGGTGGTCCTAATTCTTTTCTCTTTGCTCTTTAACATTTCCTTCTTTACAGCATCTAACTCTGTCCTTAACTGCTTAATTTCCCAGTGATCAGGCAAAGCAATTATAGGTGGACACTTCTTCTGATCATACTCAACCATCTCCTCTCCTAGGGCAGACTCATCCTCAGGGTCAAGAGATCCCTCTTCTAGCCCCAGACGGGGTCCTCATAAAAGGGTGGATCTGGCTCCGGTGGAGCGGAAGGTTTGGTTTCACTTTTATCCCAGCCATAGCTTATCAGATTTTCCTCTTTAGTCTCAGCCTTTGCTCCTTGGGCCCGGAGCATATTCCTTACAAAAACTGAGCAACTGTTTCCTTTCCCCATCTTCTCCCAAGATAAATACTCACCGCTCCCCAATTGTACCGAGTGCACTCACTTAACTTCTCCAGCAGTGTCCTTCACTTTTCCCCCTACTTTTCAGGTCCCTGTTCCAGGCGCCACTTGCCGGTGCCAGCCGGCCAAGACGGACAGTACCTGAAAGAGGGAATGAAGATTGAAAGAAAGAAAAGGAGACAGAAAAGATGCGTGGGACGACTGACAGTGAATACTGCATCCCCAGTTTATTTCAGCTCTGCCTTTTTATACAGAAGAACTCAATTAGTTACAACAGCTGTTTTTCCCCACCTGTATCTGAGGGTCAAGGAGTGGTCAGATCAAAGGCTTCTTTGATCCTTTTGTTTACCACTATTGCCTCCAGGTCAGGTATTGTGAGGCTCTCCACATAAACACATCCCTCCTAAGTACTGGTATGCATAACACAAACTCAGTAAACAAGGCAGCCATAGCTCAATGCACATAATAGATTAGCAGCTCCCAACAAGCACCCACATGGCAGCTAACATGTCTGTAACTCCAGTTCCAGGGGATCCAACATCCTCTTCTATGACGTCCTCTTCTGTCCTCCACGGGCATTGCACGACAAGGGTGCACTTACCTGCATGCAGGCAATACACACACATAAAATGAAAATAATAAATAAAATATTTTTAAAAAATCTGGGTTGGTGTTTACTGAGTACTCAGCTTCTCAGCAGGGCCTCTACCACTGAGTCCTACCCCCATTGTGTCATTGGGGGATGGATTTTAGGCCCTCCTCCTCCATGATTAAGCTGCATATCCAGACCCTAGAGGATAGATTTTAAGAGTATCTTCCCCACAGGCTTTTCTGCGAATGAGATGATAAACGAAATGTTATACTGAAGTCTTATCAGCAAGCTAAGTGTGGTTCAGTGGTAGAGCTTCTGCCTAGAATCCCAGGGCTATGGTGTGGCTCAGTAGTAGAGCACCTGCCTAGGCTCTCCCAGTGAGAGGCCGAGAGTGTGGCTCAGTGGTAGAGCACCTGCCTAGAATTGCCCAGGGAGGGCCTGGGGTGTTGCTCAGTGGTAGAGCTCCTACTTAGATTGCCTAGTGAGAGGGTGGAGGTGGGAGTCAGTGGCAGAACACTGGCTGAGCATGTGTGAAACCCTGAGTTCAATCCCCAGTACCACAAAGAAAAAAGAAGTGAGCAAGCAAGCAGTCAAGGCAGTGGTGGGACAATGGGGAGAGTGGACATAAGAGAGAATCCCAGAATCCAGTTGGCTTTATTAGTGATGGAGACATGTGATGCCAGAGTAGAAGATACCCAGGCAGCAGCCTCAAACACTCTTGTCACCTTTTCCTAGGCTCCTTTACCAACACAGCAAACAAGTGTTGACACAAAAGCATAACTCTCACCTCAAAGGGGATAAGAGATAGTTTATTCTGGAGCCAAATATGAGTGACCATGGCCTAGGAACACACATTCAGGTTATCCCAAATTCCAGGTTCCAGTGTGGTAACAGTTACATTATGTTTTTATAGTAACAGAACAAAGAAAAGTCATAAATCAAGACACCTTTTAA